TGATCAAACCTTCCTTCTTTGATAGGGTGGTCGATTTAATGACCGGTTAGGTGTCTTCCTTCTCGGCATACATATCCTTTGAAGGGTTTGGCAGATTTTTCATTTCCGGCTCTTGTGGTTGCTCTACCAGTGAAAGGAGTTTATCATTGGTAGTGGGTGGCTCAGCCTCTTTTTTGTCAACCTCCAACACCTCCTCTATAGCTTCTTTGACATCCTTCTCCACTTTTACTTCTTCCTCTTCTTCCTCATCTTCAAATTGCAATCTTGGATCATCAAAAAAATTTCTATCGTTCAAGGTAAAGGTAGAAACGATATGCCTTGGGTCCTCTTCAGTTTGCAATGGTAATTTTCCTTGAGCTTCAATTCTACTCACAGATTGAGTAAGTTGTGCAATTTGTTGCTCTAAGCTTTTGAGGCTAGCTTTGGTTGTTTCCTGGAAGATTTGGGTAGTAGTAGCAATGCTTTTGACAGTGTCTTCCAAGGACATGCTCGAAGTTTCAGTTTGTTGGGGAGGTGGAGGATATAGTTATTGGAACTGTGGAGTTGGTTGGTATTGGTCATTTCCCCAAGCTTGGTATGGGTTTTGGCATTGGTTGTTTCCCCAAGCTTGGTTGTTTTCCCACCATTGATCATGTTGAGGTTGATCATAACTCCATTGGTTTGTCCAGTAGTAGCTTCCCTTTTCCTGCACTTCCTCCCATTCCCCTTGTGAATATGGACATATGTTGGTATGATATCCATTTTGAGTGCAAAAAGCATTAGGAATAGGTGTAGGCTGCACACTTTGGTCATTTCCAATCATCATAACTATCTGGGCTATCTCAGAAAGTTGGTCTTTAATGAAAGGAGTGTTCATTTCCAAGCCAAACTTTTTTTTTATAGAGATGTACCTACTCACAAAAATCTTGACATAAACAATTAGTAACACCGTGTCCCCGGCAACGGCGCCAATTTGTGTGGTTGTCAAAGCTAACAAATAAAGGGGTAAAAATAACTCCTTTAAACACTAATACTTTGTATTAAAAAAATGTAATACAAGGTAAATAGGGTCGATACTCAGAGACACAATATAAATGTTTATACCCTTTTTGCGTAAGGTACAAATGAGATCACAAAAGAGGGGGGGGGGGGGTTTAGATACAATGATTCAAACAAAATACTGAATTAATAAATAGCAATTGACTAAGTAAAGTAAATTCATGATTTGTAAGTACTCCAACTCTATGCAAGACTAATTAGTAATGTGATCCAAAATATGAGATGATATTTGTTTAATTCCATCTAAGTTGGTATTAGAAATGCTAATAAACTCTAGCACTTCACATTCACCATTTTTAATTAATTAAAATAAGCTCTTTAATTAATTCTAATCTAACTAACCTAATCTAAACAAGTTCTTAAAATGGGTGAAAGATTGCATGATGCTTTATATGAATTTTACCAACAACATTCAATACTCCTCATAAGCTTGGGAGTGTTAGAATGTGTGAATTTGATTTGTACTAGAATCATTTCAAGTAGTATGATTTAATACTTGTTACTTGTTCTATTTTACAAAACAATTACGGATTTTGTATAATAGATAACATGAGTGATTTAACCCTAACTCAATTGGCCAAAAAGAACTAGGATTGAAATCAAATCTTCAATTAAAACAAAATCAAATTCACTAGATAGCATTTAAAACAAACACCAAGTCATATGATTGAATTCACACACACAATTGTCAATACATGAAGTTGGAGAGTTAAGTTTCTAGCCACTCATGACTAGAACAAGCATAAACCTAGAAATTGAAGTTAAAGTCTTACAAATTAAAATCCAAGTGAAATCCAAATGTTTTCAAGCATCAATTGTCTTCAAAATACTCCCAAAATCGCTTCCTAAAACTTACAGAAACGACCCCCCTTTTCTGGAACCGGTTGCCACTTTTTAGAAAGAAGAAAAACTGTTTTAAACCCGTGACCACGTTTACACGACCGTGTAAACATTTACACGGTCGTGTAAATGCAAAAAGTACACTGCGAAAATTGGTCAGGCTTTCAAAGTACAATGCTCGAGAGACTTCATTTACACGGCCCGTGTAAACATTTACACGGTCGTGTAAACCTCTGAAAAGCCAAAATCTTCATTTCTTTGATATCTTCCTCCTCGATGCTCCACAAAAGTGTGTGAATGGAATTGCATCATGAAAAATCCCGAAAAATATGCAAAATGCATGAGTTTAAACCTAAATGCAATGCACTTTTATGGAGTAAAACTACAAAATGGATGCATGAAATGCATCTAACACTCAGCTACATTTCGCATTTGAGGTGAGTCTTCTCACCATATCAATGGGTCGAAGGCACCAAGGCCGGCCCATTACGTGTTATGTGGTATACTAGTTGATTATGTGGTACGTGATATGCTAGTTGTCTAGTGATACTTGCATGGAAGAACCCGGGGGAGCCCGTAGCACTTAGATGCCAGACCATGTGGGGGTGCCCATGGCATTCCAGGTAAAGACCATGGGGGTGCCCATGGCATTTCAGGTAAATACCATGGGGGTGCCCATGACACTTGGTTATAAGACCATGTGAGTGTGTCCATTGCATTCCAAGTAAGACCATGAGGGTGCCCATGACACATAGGTGTAAGACCCTGGGGGGGAGCCCACGACATCCGTATATGTTTATATGCATGGCTTGTATGGTTGATATGATTATATGATTGTGCGGATTGTGTGGGGTATGTTATAGGGAACTCACTAAGCGTTAGCTTACAGTTTGTTGGTTGTTTCAGGTACTTCGGGATCTAAGGGCAAGGGTCCGGCGTGATGGTGCGGCATGCACTCTCTGGCATTTTATTGGGAACACTATGATGTTATGAATAAATTGTCTGATGTTATGAATTTTGAAAACAAATGTGATTGGAATTTTATATTTTATGGAAATGATTCTGTTATTTAAAAATGAAAAACCCTCTTGGAAATTTGGGCTGTTACAATAAGGGCGTTGAGATTCTTACGAGTAACACGAGGTCATGGACAAGAAGGTTGGCATGAGGAGGAGACGATAGGTTATGATCTGAGCAAGGCAACAAGTAGACAACGACGCTTCCGATTTGAGTGTTGGTCGATGGGGACGTGAAGATGTGAGGAGTCGATGAGGAGAGGAAGAAAGAAATAGTGAATTTGATGCGTTTGTGGATAGTTTGATTAGAGTAAAATGTACGCAATGCAATAATGTAAATTTATCTATATAAATATATAAATTTAGGGTAAAGCCCACTAGAAAGAAAATGTATTATTATTATATTTCCTTAATATATATGACTTTACTTTATCATTAATAAATTTATGGTATTTAAATAGTTTAAAAATAAAGTTTACTATTATACTTTTTGTTTAATTGTTTTGTTATTAAATATTTGATAGGTGAGGTGGGGGTGGATATAGGTATGGATATAGGTGGAAGTAGAGGCGGGGTAGGGTGGGAGTTAAGTGTGCATGTAGGGGTGGGGGTGGGGGTGGGGTTTGTAGATATGAAAGCGAGTGTGTATGATCTAGTGGGTGAGAGGGTGTGGATAGGGTGAGGGTGGTTAGGATGGATGTGAATATCCTTGATGAGAGTTTAGTACGAGTAAAGATGGTATAGGATGGGTGGAATGGGGTGGTGTGGATACAGACGGGGATATAGGTGGGGTGGGTGGGTGGGTGAGGGTGTAGGTATGTAGGGTTTTTATTATAGCAAAAATTTGTAAATTAAAAAGTATATAAAACAACAATTTTCACTTTTTCAAGTTATATTAGAATTTAGAATTTGTTAGAAAATATTTTGGAAAAAATATTAAACCAAACATGTTTTGTAGCTTTTCTTTTTTCTTAGAAAAATTTCTAGAAAACTAGAAACTTTTTCTACAACAAACTACACCCTAAAAACTCAAAAAGACATAAAAGTTATGTCTGATGTGTTGGTGTTTAATTTAATAGATAAAAAAACATTTAACTATTAAGAAAATACTATACGCACCTTAAAAAAATTAAAAAACACTTAAAAGTTGTGTTAGGCGTGTTGGTATTTAATTTAATGGATAAAAAACATTTAACTATTAAGAAAATACTATAAAGGCTTTAGAACATAAAGTTGGGAAACTCATAGGCCAATATATCTTGTTAGTAATTTACACCCGGTGTGATGGAATAACTTCGAATCTTGTTCTTGCTTGGGGACTGGCATCGAGGAAGTGAAGAGAGCTTTGGGGAAGATGAGAAGGAACAAAATTTTTGTTCTGGAAAAAATTCCTAGTAGGGCATGTCAATGTCGTAGAAAGAAATGATATTATCTTAAAGTGTCAAGATACGGAGAAGTGGAGATTAAGTTGTTTGATCCAAATATATAAGAACAAAGGTGATGCCCAAAGCTCTAAATACTATATAGGTATTAAGCTCCTTTGTCATACCATGAAATTACGAGATAGAGTTTTGGAGGCTATGTTGTACAGCATCAAGACTATTACAGAAAGTCAATTTGATTTCATGTCTAGGAGGCCCACTATTAGGGCGATCACCTTATTGGACATCTTATGGAGAAATATAGAGAAAGAAATATGGATCTCTGTATGGTGTTCATCAACCTGAAAAAGGCTTATGAGACAAATGAGGAGGAGATAGATGTAAGTATATGGAGGAAGAAGGCTAAAACATCATGGTAGATGAGTAGCATATAGCCTGCATATGTGTTTTGTGTTCTGACTTTTATTGTTAATAGTTTTATTTCTCGTATTGTTATATGATTCATTTTGCAAATATCAAAGGTCATTTATATAGTCAATTTTCCAGTAATGAAGCCTACCCGGCTTTAATGGGATTCCAAAGTCTGTTGTCGTTACTATCATACATTTTGTTATCCATTAAATTAAATACATTATTTTGTTACGAGGTGCTTCCTCCTCGTCCATAAACAAATACATTATTTTGTGATAAGATTAACCCCAATAACCATATCATACATTGGAAAAATGAAAGCTGAAAATGGCATAGAATAACGAAGAAAGCAAATTTGGGTATAGATCATGGAAAACGTTTATCAATAAAAAAAAAGACATTACATAATCAAATAACATACCAACTATACCCCTACTACGCGATTATCTGCTAAACAATCATCTACCTTCCTTAAACTCAAACTCAAGGATTACTCTGAGGCCCACCTATTGAAGAAAATACTAATCTCTTAGGTTGATTTTACAGACAAGATAACAATGGACCAAAATGCCATTGCTTTTATGATAGAAATACAGTCTTGCTGGGTCAATATCAATAGTAGGGGGTCCCGTAGTATGACTGAGGTGCAGCAGCAGTTGGTTGCTGTGGGACAGCCTGCTGAGATCATATTGTGACAGCTTCTTGTTAGTTCTTGCCAATAAGTTATATATTTTTGACAACAGACATCAAAATGAAACACAAAAATAAGGGCAAATTGGTAATTTTACATGGGGAAAAATCTAAGAATACCTGGACGGGGTATGAAGCGGGATAAGTAGCATAAGCAGCAGCTTGTGGTACAGATGTAGGAGCTGGGGCTTGTGGTTGGGGTTGTGCATAGCCGCTTCCATAGGCATTGTATGTGCCATAAGCAGCAGCCTAAAAGAAAACAAAAAATCCTCAATAGATGAAAATGGAAGTAATTATAATTTTCATTAAATGAAATAGTAATAAAAATACCTGTTGAGTATATGTTGCAGGCCATTGTTGTCCTTGAGCTTGTGGCCAAGCCTGAGGCTGGACACCATAACCTGCAGGCCACTGGTTGTGTGTGCCAGGTGAACCAGCACCCGTTTTTGCAAGTTTTGCTCTTTCTGACACTAAATATCCCTCCATGTGTCGCTTCTTCGACTCTGTGGCACTTTTATGATGTACAAAAAGCTTGCTGTGTCTATTGTCCGCCTTTTTTATGGTTTGTGTGTCCCCAAACAGATCTAGAAACTGCAGAATCAATAACAACAACTTGTCACACCATCTGCATAACATATATATATTAAAAAAAAAAAAAAAAAGAAACATAAAATCATTCTACCTCCAAGAAAATGCTGGATAACTCTTCTCTTTCGATATAACTTGCAGGATTTGGATTATCAGGACCTGGAGCTATGAACTTCTCCACCAGTGAGTCTAGGCGGTTGATTTGTTTTGGAAGTGATTGAATCGACTCCATGTGAATCAAACCCTGCAATTCCATCATTAATGTATAAACAACTAACTAAACATACAATCAAAAATATATATATATATATATATATATATTTTTTTTGATAAAGACCTCTAAAAGTGGTTTCGAAATCTGATTGCTCTCAAGGGCTTCATCTAGAATCTCCCTTGCTTTTTCCACCCTTCCCAAAACCTATAAACAAAATTGTCAGCAATAAATAAATCATTATTAAGTCACAAATAATGTAAAGAAGCCATACCAAGTACATAAATCGAGAATATTGTGCGAGCAAAAGTGGCAAGGTCTGTGAATGTTCTTTTCCTTTCTCAATTGCAATTGTCTGCTCATACAAAGAACAAGCTTCTTCCGGATTCCCCTAGTAGTTATATTAAAAAGGAAGCCAATTAAGACATGAAAACTCAGATCAATGTTATGCGTTATAATGTTTTTTAAACAAGCATTAATTGGGTTACCAGACGATGTTCCATGTTGGCATGCTTGATAATTGCTTCTAGAAGACCAGGAGAAAGTTCAGTATGCACAAGGTTATAAGATGCATGAGCACCCGCAATATCCCCACCATGTTCTCTATATCGGGCAGCAAATAGGTGAATCTCTGGTTGCCTCTGTAAACATTATCAAAAAAAATTTGTTAAAGAAAAAGATCAAGATCATCATAAAGATGATTAAGTTTACTACATGTACCTTTACAAACACCTGTGTGGCACGAGCAAGTGCATTTTCAGCAAGATCCATACTCCCACTGGCTTCCATACACAAAACGTATCGTATCCAAAACTCAGGATAATTTGCACACGCGATAAGACATCTTTCATATAACTTGAAAACCTGATGCAAATAAAAAAACCATGATTATGTATGTATCCAAAAAATGTGGTTTTTTATTATATATGAATCGAAGAAATTGCAAAAATAGGAGAAACACAAAAGAGATAGATACTCCGATGGCAGAACAGAACAGAACAGGGAGGCCCCTCAAAAATGAAACGAGGGACCCATGACATGAATGATTAAGTAACAACACACCTGCATACATAACATTGCAACTTTTAACAAATGGTTTTATAGTTTATTCCATGATGAACAACCCAGAATCTCGACTCACAAAATTTAGGATTTGAAAGAAAGTACTTAGCCTTATAGCATTAGCAACCAAATGGGAGGAGACCCATCCATGCTTTCAATATCCGTAGAGTTTAAAAAGATGCTTCATCCAACGAGTTTAGCCAGAGAGATATTACTTAACGCTGTAAGTCAATGTATAACAGGGACAACTAAACGCACAAACCAAAAACATAATTTCAAACATCTGATAACTGAACACTTATTTATACCTTATTGAAGTCATCTCCTCCTTCCATAAAATCAAGATAATTATGCCAGTTTTCCAGCTCTGTCACATTAAGTGGTCGGACATGAAAGTAGGGTCTTCTGATAGCAGTCTCAAAATCAATAATCTTAGAATCAAATTCTTTAGCCTTCTTGTACAGCTCTTCTCTAATGCCGATATAAGACTCCACCTCTTCAGCTTCTTCACTTACTGGTTTATAAGGTTTCTCTTTCTCCACTGTATCTGGATGAACTTCCCCTTCACTTTCTTCAATCGTTGCTTCCTCTTTAGAATTTGTTGCAGCTGCAACTTCCTCAGGGGTTTTCAGTTCAGATAAAGGGCGACTTGCTATTAATTCCCTCAAGCTGTAAATTGTAGAAAAGAGTATGATCATGTTTAGTTTATGTTGGACCTAACAGAAGCTAGAAGCTCTTCTACTGAACAAGTGTATATCACCTGTTATAATAGCGGTCCAATTGCTGATTAGGATGCTCCAATATCCGTGTGTATATCATTGCAAGATTGAACCACTGCTGCTGTTGATACTCATATTCAATGTATTTATCCCATAAAGGAAAAGACAGGTAATCAGTTCCAACATAAGCTAGTCCCCGTTCAAACAGCCTGAAACAAGAAGTTGAACCAAATTATTATTCTTAATTATGATAGTTGATTAAAAAAAAAACAGGTATTACCTCCGTACTGTGTCGGGATCTCCATAAGTGTGAATGGCAAAAACACAATAGTGCAACCACATATCTACAGAATATGTTACCCCATGAACTGCTCGTTCATAAACCTCAACAACTTTGTCCAAAAATCCGAGGCGTGCCTCATGATCAGCATACTTCTTCCAATAACCATAACACAAGGGAAATTCGGCTAAAAAGGTATCATAAACTTTTCGAATCTTCAAAATGTTATCCTGTAAATAGATGAAATACAATTAAAGCTTTTGTTTATAACAAACTTCATACTTACTTACAACAAAAACCCTTGCCTAAGGCCTACCTCAGCTGTTTTTTCAGTCTCTTCTATAAGAGCAGTCCAGGCAGTGAAGTCCAATGAATTGGTATTTACTATGCTCCACAAACGTTCTTCTTCAGGAGACAACGCAGCAATGGCTGCCAAAAAAAAAGGAGTCAAAATTTGAAGTACAATCTCAGAATCAATATGAAAGTTAGATTCAGTGAATGAACAGATGTGCCAAGTAGATACCAGGGGCACCATCATGTGGTTGATTTGCAGATGCAGAATTATGCTCATCATATGAACCAACACCATTTTCACTTATACCCAAAGTTTTTGCATCACTGGTGTCATTTCCATTCACGGAAGAATGGTAAGCAGTAACATGAGATGAATCTACAGATGTGTTGGCAATACTTGCAGGATTCTCACCAACATCTTGTATAGTTGAAGATGGAGCCTCATTGCTGAAATTGACATCTGTAACCTTTGATCTTCCAGCAGAACCTCGATCATCCTCGTGACGAATGGCATTGTCTACATCCATGGTATCGGTACCTGTAGAAGCAGCCAAATCTCCATTAACTGTAGTTGATGGATGCTCCTGGATAGCTGATGATTGAGCAACAACTGTTTCACTATCTCCCATTGTAAATAGGTGATTGATTGTATCTTAAACCTGTATAGAAGAAAACAGCCGTGAACAACCATGGTAACCACACAGAAGTGATAGCAGTTCCAATTCTGTGTAACATCTAATCACTCCAAATAAACACAAAAAGTGCTAAAAATTATATATTTTAACCAGGCAATACAAATGCAGGTCTAAATGAAGACTAGATAACCTAACCATAATAATATTTCCAGCTAGCTATATTTGTGATACAGTTGCTTGAAGAATATAAAGCTGCCACAACTTTTGCAAGAGTAGACTCAGTATGTTAAATAGGAATACAATATTGAAAGCCTACGAAACTATATAAGTGTTTGTTCGAGTGTGGAGTACCTACTACATACTTAGAGATAATCCATCCATCAGCCATGGAAACTCTATACTCAAGTCGTTTTATAAGTTCTTCAGTTAAGCTTTCTCATTAAAATTTCCATCTCTGTAACAATCAGCCTTAATGGAAACCCTAAAGGTTGTCGTCTCTGTGGCAATTAACATGCAGAAGCTATATATCAACTGTTATCAGTTATATTCCTTTCGTTATCCTATATCACTTTTTCGGCCATATAAAGCCCTTCGGACCCACACATATTCAAAGTGCACATGTACCATGAAGTGAATTTTAATTTTTCCGGCTAGAAAAGATCTTGACATTAATACGCTGAATCGTACATTGCAAACTCTGAAATGAAAATTTGCGACAGCACGAACAAACAGCTAGGGTTACGTCTGTTTCATGTGTCTAGAAAGCTCCTACTGGCGTCAAGTAAACGACTACAATACCAAACTAACAAGAATAATCCTCGAAGAATAAAACTCGATTATAAGAGAAACAAAAACATCTAGAAAAATAGAGTTATACTTCGATCGAAAACCCTAATTTTCAGCATAAAAGCGAAGAGTTCGAAGATTACTCGGCGCAGTAGTACGAGCAGACTACGATGACGAACAAGAGATGTACGCAGGTCCGTAAGCAGAGAGAAGGAGACGGAACTGACGATGAGCGGCTGTCGAGTGCGTGTGTGAATTTATGCCCTAACCATACGAAAACATACACCGTTTCTCTGTTTTCGCATGCCCCTTTTTTGAACTGACTATGCAAAATTAATGGATATTGACAAACTAACCCTTGTAAACTAGCTAATTAACAAAAATAACCTTTTTATATTGTAATTTGAAAAATAATCATTTTATTTGGAATGTCCCATTCCGCCTAGTTATGTCCGTTCTGAAGTTATTGAATGGTAGGTGAGATTTTATATAAATATAATATGGAATTTGATATTGTACCTTCCAGACCCATATTGTGCATTTTTGACATTTGGGACACACATTTTGAATTGGCATCGTAAGTTTAGGGAATTTCAAACTCTTCGCACTACATGTCCTTGGTTTTTCATCTTTTTTTTCAGTTAAGTTTAATAACTCATAATTACTTTTCCTAACATTTGAAAACGAGTTCATCCTATCAAGTGCACGAAGAAAGCTAGTCAACCTCCATGTTTATGTTCATAATCTTGAAACAACCAACCCGAAAATTTTTAACAACATCAAGAAAAATAGGAGATTGTTTTTTGTTCTATTTTTGTGGCTCCAAGATGTGTGGTAAGATGCTTTTGTAATATATCAATTGTATTTTTGTAGTTATTAATTTTGTTACAATTGATGTTCCTAAAAAAATATAGATTCATACATTTTCGAGTTGTATGCTACCAGAGGTAGTCTTCCTCTGAAAGGTAACTACTTATGCTCAATGTATATTTCGAAAGTATCTTACGATGAAAGATTCATTAGAATTGTATAAAAAAGTATTAGAAAATCTTATTTGATAATTGAGGGATAAAAGTATGAATGATAGAATGACATCATTGAAGTAAAAATGATAGTTACTTGTATAGAGAAATTGTGACAATATGGTTGATTACTAATATTGTAATGAATCGGTCTTAAAGAGATTGAAGATCATTTGGAGGTGACCAATAGCAAAATGGGTTAGTGGATTAATGTAACTAGACATGCCTAACTACTAAGAGTACAATGTGATTTTACAAATGAGTAAATGCCACAATTTCAATACTTATTTAATACATGTTTTTACATAATAAGATATTTGTTTGGGACATAGTTTCCTTTATATAGAACATATAATTGTTTTGTGTAATTGAATTGCTTTGGAACTTGGTTTTCCTTAATTTGTATTTAAGTTGCTACATATAGCTATCAGTGAAATGTCTAAACACCCATCAGATAAAAGGTGAAAGATCTTTATACCCAAAACACATTATAAAATGATATTGCTAAATAATATATGATCTTAGAAGGGTCACACATACAACAACTTGATGATAATATATTATTTATAACAACTTGTTTCTTGAAAAATATTTATATTAATGTATATATATTATTTGAAACATCCCAAAAACACGGTGCAAAAATTTCGTTTTAAATCACTAATAAAACCATAATTATCTTTCAACATATAAAATCATAAATCGTATATCTCAAGAACATAATAACATCTGTCAAATATATCAAAGTAAAACAACCCAGGCTGAACCAATGGTGTGTGCACTGCAAACTTCCCGAGCTCCTCTTTTGAAAACTTAAGCACCTGAAACCAAAACCGAAAACCGTAAGCACGAAGCTTAGTGAGCTCCCCCAAACTACCACATACCATACACATAACATATAACAATCACATAACTCTGGGACTACTCCCAACTGCATCGGGGACGAATCCCGGCATCGGCTTACCCGACATCGGACTCCTGCCCGGCATCGGGCTCACCCCGGCATCCGACCGCATCGGGCATCGGGCTCACCCCGGCATCGGGCTTGCCCCGGCATCGGTATTACCCCGGCACATACACAACATAACATATATAATAAACACATAACATAATCACATGATCTGCATCGGGCTTGCCCCGACATCGGACCGAAGCCCGGAACATATAATCATAACATACAAACTAGCATACATCGGGCTTGCCCCGGAACATATAATGCATGACATAATAACTTGTTGGATTAGTGTCTAAGCTCGTAACTATATTTGGTAAGTATTTGACCCGGTTGTGCATGGTCCTTTTGGGTTGCCTTCACCATAGCAACTTGACAGGATGATTTATGAAGAGAGAAGAGATATTATTATATTAATATATTATGAGAATAATATATTAAAGGAATAATAATATTATTTAATTAATATTAGTCATAAATTAATTAGTAATTAATTTGGTGACTAAAAGAGGTTAATTGAATAAAGGGGCTTAAACTGTCAAATGTGTGATAGTTGAGTTTTGGGCTATGAATCCTTATAGATATTAGGGCGGCCGAATTTAGGGTTATGGATTCCTTGAATTCGTCCAAGCCTTACTCTAGAAGGATCCTTGGATTGCTTAGGGCCTAAGTTATTCAATTAGGGTTAAGGATGTAACCCTAGTAGCTCATAGTATAAATAGACCCTATGGGTGAGGGAAATCGACCACCTTGTTGCATTGGAAACCCTAGAGCCGATTTTCTCATCCCTCCTCTCTCTCCAAATCATCCTCTTGCTAGTTGGTGTTTGTAAGCCATTAGAGGAGTGACAATTGTGACTATAAGCTCCAAGAACAAGAAGATTCAAGCAAGCAACTTAAGGTATTCTTCTAGATCTGATTTCATATGTTATGATTCAATTGTTTACTCTAGATCTTGCATCATAAGCCTTGGAAACATTGCATGTTCAATTAGAGAAACCTAGATCCAAGCATTAGGGTTTGCATGTGCACATAGGAAAGTTCTTATGGCTCGAACCCTTCAGTGGTATCAGAGCTTAGATTGATTTTTATTGAATTGATGCTTTGATTGATTGCTTTTTACATGAAAAATCATTTTTTTTTGTTCCCCTTACTGACTGACTCGGCGAGTAGCATGAACTCGGCGAGTCCATAATGGGACTCGGTGAGTCCGAGCGTCAGTCTGAGTTGATTTCGGGATTTCTTGCTGTTTTGCTTGAGGATACTTGCCTTAATTGTTTTGGGTCATTAAAATCCGAATTTTATCATATATTTGAGTATATCTTTGACCAAACAAAAGATAATTACCATTTGATTGAATAATAATTTCCTTATATGATAATAATTGATTATTTGAATTAATTGGTAAATTGTCTTGCAAGTAATATTGACTAGGTCAAATTTAGATAATCATTAAATTAATTAGTTGATTTATATTATTTGCTATTTGATCCTCTATGTTTTGAAAAGTTCAAAACTTGTCCTCAAGTTTTGAAATTTAAGTTTTGTGATTAAAAGTTTAATTTGAACTAATTAAATTTCAAACCTTAGAATTTTACAAGTTTTAAAATTCAACACTATACTTATAATATTATAAGATTAATATATATATATATATATATATATATATATATATATATATATATGTATAACTTAAATGCTAGTCTTACCGTTAGTAGGTCTCATTCACGAAGCCAGTCTATAAGGGGGTATAAGGTTATGGCCTATAAAATGGCCGTTTAATGGGTGTCCATTCTCACCCACCGCTTCCTTGATTGGTGGAGGGTCGTTAGCCGAACGGGTAGGATCGGGCAAACCTTTCCTCATTAAAAGTATAATGAATCTATATAAAGTAACTAAATGTTTTTACAAAATTCCCAATCTTAGTTACTTTAGGCAAAAGTGAATTGATGCAATTCCATGAAATTACACTTTGTACCCTTGCTAAGACGTTAATGGAGCGCGTGTGGTTAACCAGCACATTAATTGGGTTATAAGCAAAGGTGGCAAAGGGTTACTCATTGTTTGTTATAGTTCGATGGAGCGTGTGTGGTTAACCAGCACATCGAATAGGTAACTGTAACAATGAGGGCACCATGTACATTTGCATGGTTATTCACACCCACTTTGTGATCCTCGGCATCCCAGTCACAAACGAGAGGGGCATATCGAGATTTAAACATGCCATTGAAAAGTTCAATGTATCTCAAAAGATCTAGGAGTTTTCAATACATTTAAAACCTAATTCTTTTTCGTTTTTCATGGTGGAGAATTAGTGAATCGACATTCACTTGCCTTTAAATTATTTACTTATTAGATTACGACATCCCTCTTCTAATTTGTGAATAATGTTGTTGGTTCCTAACCCTAATTTTTCATTTGGGTGATTAATTTGGGAAAATCATTTCTAATCAACTTTGTTCTTTTTCCATTTCAGATGTCGAACACAAACAACAACGCTTATGGGTCAAACTCCTCTGGTTCATTCTCACTTATGAACTTGTGTGGGAAAGTGATCTTTGATGGGACCAATTTCAGTAATTGGATCCGCAACATTCGCATGGTCACTCGCTACGAGGACAAAGAGTATGTCCTCGACGAGAAGCTTAAGGAGATTGATATTGAAACTGCTACTGCCGATGAGATCGAGGCCTACGAGGCCCACGAGCGTGATGCCACGAAAGTCCATTGTATCATGCTCGCGACTATGACTGGTGAACTTCAAAAGTCCTATGAGGACAAGTACCCCTATGAGATGCATCAGGATCTGCTGGAACGCTACCACCAGAGCGCTAGGCAAGAGAGGTATGAGATCATCACTTCGATGATCACTACCAAAATGGGTAATGGAGAGTCCCTTACCGCCCATCTGCAAAAGATGCAGAGATATGTTGATCGCCTGCTGAAGTTGAATGTGAACTTCGATGAAGAGCTAGCAATTGACATTATCCTTCACTCATTGCCTTCCTGCTATAGCCAGTTCCGCATGACCTACCACATGAATAAGGAAGAGGTCTCCTTGAGCAAGCTTCAGGGCTTGTTGAGGACTGCTGAGAGCAACCTCAAGGATAAATCTGTTGCATCACCTCCACTCCAGCTGCTGCCCCTGTCTTGGCAATAGGGCAAGGGAAGGGTAAGAAGAGGAAGGCCTCCTCAAGGGGCCACCACAAGGGAAAGTCCCAAGATGGCACCTCTTCTAGTGGAACCAAAGTTGGTTCTGCTAAACCCAACTCAAACCCCAAGGAGGCAGAGTGCCACCACTGCCACAAAATAGGGCATTGGAAGAGAAGCAGCCCAGAATATCTAGCCATCAAGGATGGAAAGAT